AGAATCTCCAAGTTTTCGGACTTTTACTGACATACTGAATATCCAATACGTGCTGCAGCCTTTAATGTTAAGCTGGCTTCAACGATATAAATAACTATACCCCCAGCTTGGAAGGGTACACTTTGAAGGGCTTCCGCTGAAGACTGAAAAGGACATTCGAGTTTCCGGTCAATTGAACTTATTCTTAAGGTGGTTTGAGATCTACCAGTGAAGTTCAGAAATGCGGCACAATTAATGCATATCAATCAAACCCGGAAGGAATTTACTGAAAACTGACGACAGGAAGTGGGCAGTCTTCTAACCCCTCACTGTGCTTCATTATATCCCGATAACGACCTTTTTATATAAATCTTTTAGTTTTAGCCCCTGATTTTGGAATATCAAAATATGTCAGATTGGTGTTTGTGGCAAGGTTTATTATTTGGAGCTTTTGTCATCTTTCCCATTATTTTTCGTAATTCGAAGAAAATGCGTTTCTCTGGTGTATGTGGTGTATGTTATTTCGTTATTTTTACATAGAGTAGTAAAAGTTAGCAGGTATGACTAAAAAGAACACAAAAAGATAAACAAAATTCAATTTGAAATCTACTTCATAAAGTCTGTAATTTTTGTTTGTACATTTTCTGCTGCAAAAATAGATGTTATTTATGTAGTTTTCAAGATCACAAAAGGACTCCCAGATATGATTACGAACGTGGCGTGATTGTAGAAAATTCCGAGTTTCTGACACTTTTTTTGTCATTTCAGAAATGGTTGGAAGAGCATTAGTGTCTACAGTAGAATAAGTTTCATCTAAATCGTCATCTTTCTCATTATCGCTTAAAGCTATAGATGAGGTTACGGAGCCTATAATTTGCTCATTGGTCAACATTTCTCTTTTTGCCAAGCTCTACGGATGAAATTGACTGCATCTAAGAGATTTATAGAAAATGCTTCATTTTTATCGATCGCCGCTAACGTTTCCATAAGAAGAATTTTTCACCGGCAGACTCTCCAACAATTTTTCCGCTACTGATATTATGCCTCTTCTTGAAACGCTCTTCCCAAC